AGACTCAGAATGACCGGGGGTTGGTAAACCAAAGCTTCCAACAAACCCTAAGGCAGGAAATGTTCAATCTTTAAAATCCATGTTTTGAAGAGTATTTGATGTCATCATCAAATTCCCAGCATGTAATGCAAACTGAAGAAAACAAGAGATCTATACAACACAGACTTCAATTTGGTTACAAATATAATAAGTATAAAAGAAACATTGAAAGGGAAAACACCAAAATACCGAGGCTAATCTCTGAATGTTGAGATTATGTGTGATTTTATTTGCTTCTTTTTGCTTTGGGGGATTTTTCCAAATTTTCCTCAAAAATATATATTAATTTTATGGTTAGAATAAAACACAGTAATTAAAAGTCATGTTAAATAAACATCATCAGTAGTAAAGATAATTTGAAAGGAATGTGGTAGAGAAACCCTGGGCCCACCAACACAGGAGCCTTTGACACCAATTATTCAATAGCTTGTAAATAACTTTAATTCATGCCACCAGGTTACCTCTCAATATTTCTGTCAAATATAAGGTAGATGATTAATGGAGATAGAAACAATAAACCCTAATCTCAAGATCATTTATATACAGTACCTACCCGAGGGTCAATACCCCATAAATGATAGATTTAGCTCTTTGTTCTGAAACTTAATGACTTTCCTCTCTCAAAAAGATGGAAACACTATTGGCAAAGTAATGAAGCAATACAGCCATAAGAGGACTAAAGGAATAATGGAGGCTTCCTACCGAGTAGAGAGCAAGAAAAGGTAGTTGCTTGTGAACAAGCCCTGGGGTGAAATGCAAGCATGTCATTTATGGCAAGTTTCAGATTATAGAGTACTACAGTACAGTTGAAGGAAAAGTGATTTACTTAGCCAAGCATGGGCACATGGGCATGTCTGAATCTTTAACCTATGGCTCAGTTGTTAACCCTCACGTATAACATGTAGCATCGTGCTCCCCGGAATACCTTGTAAACCCAATTGGGCATGAATTATTATTATTATATTTAAGAGGTGAGTTATTTTGGATAAAATAAGAAGGAAGACCAAACCGAAAAAGAAAAAGGGGTGGAAAGAGGGAGAAAGCAAGAGAGAATGAGGAGAGAGAGAGAAAGAGAAAGGGAAGGAAAACTTGAGCACATGCAGCTGCAATCATTTATTTAAGGTTGGGAACATGAACTGGAGATGTTGTACAACATCTGAATGCCTGAGAATCTCTTGATTTCAGCTAAGATCAGAAGGTCAACACGATTTTGAGTAATGAAAGTCATCAGTTTGTAAAAGTACAGTAAGATGAGACATGGAGCCATGAAAGGGGGAAGGTGCCCCACCGTGGCCCGTCAGTCCACCCACCTCACCATCTGTGTTGCGTGTACAGCCAGAGGAGCTTTTCTCCTCACCCTCTGACACAGTTTCTATCTCATTCTCTTTCTATATCAAAAGCACCCTCTCTCTGGCTAAAGGATGGTTTCTCCTTTCAGTTACTATATTCCTCAGCATTATCTGTGAGCCCCAAAAATATTTAAAGATGTTTCCCAAGGGAAAATAGAAATTTATGTCTCTCAACTAATGATTTAATTATTATAATGCAGAATCAAATGTTTACTAGAGTGAAAGAATTAATAGCCCAATCAGCTAACTCTTCCTTATTAGAAGGATTTGGGGTTATAATTTGAAGTGAAATCATTCTACTGAACTCAATGCCAGTTCCAGCTTGTTGACTTTATTGGGGAAGTAGAACACTTGGAAATGTGAAACACAGTGGGTAATATTTATTTGAAATCTTCAAGAACTATGGTTTTTGCTCATGTAGAATGGTATGGCATTTTGCCTAGATGGGGGAACTAACAGATTAGCACATTAACACTTTTAGGAAACATGCATATAATTTGCTTTGAATGTGGTCTTTGACTTCTAAGAGGAATACCTAATGATTTTCAAACTGACAGACCACTTTATAAAGCCTTTCTAAAAAATTGCTGGTTGCTGAGAAGCTCCTTGCATAACCACCATAGAACAATTGTCAACTCCACTTTGGGAAAGCAAAAGCTCACTGAAGGAAATTCCCCCAGAAATGGCCTAAAACTATAAATAAAGTAATTTAAAAATAGTTCTTAGTCTGGTCTTCAATTATACATTTTAAAAGTATGTCTCATATGTAAGTCTGATATGCCCAGGGTAGATCTAAACACTGTATTCACATCAACTCACCTGATCCTTATGAAAGCCGCAGGAGGGGTGAACTACCACTACTCTCATTTTAGAGAGAAAGCAATGGCAGTATAGAGAAATTTTTTAAAGTTCTCACATTCATTCACCTCATAACTGGAAAAGCCTGGATTCGAATCGAGTAGCCTGACCCCAGAGACCATGGTCTTAGCCACTATACCACACCGGCTTTATGCATGAGTGGGCTTACCCTTAATGTTCAATAAAGAGCCTATAAACAAGTAAATTTCAACATCATTGTTAACAGCATTAAAGGTCCAGCTTTCCCCTTTCCATTTGTTTTGTAAGGGAAAGGGACTGTATGTACCATTTAATTAGGCTCAAGCCAATCATGTTAATAAACTGCTATACACTGGGAGGATTATAATTTTGCTTATTTACAATGCTTCCACTCCTAGAGGTAAAATACTAATCAATCAGTAGGAGATATGATCCCTAAATTGTTATAAAAATCCACCAGTACTTTTGCTTAAAACATTAAAATAAAAAGTTTTGTTTCCTCTTACTTCCTATATCATTCCCCATTAGTTTCCATAATAACTCAAAGGCCAGTATGGAAGGAGAATTTAAGGTACCCACAATGGTGATCCACCCGCATGGTGATACTGAGAAGGAGAGGTAAGGGGAGGGGAAGGAGGAGAAGAAGAGGAAGAAAATGGTCAACGGTGAGAGAAGTGAGGGTGAGTTTTGATATGACACAAAGCAAAGGTCGAGAGAGGGCGGGGATGTGGAGAGACATGCAGAGGCTGAGTAGAGGAACCAGGTCCCCACCAACCATCCAACATAAAAGAGGTTCCCCTCTCTAGGGGACAGGAGAGGACCAGTACCCACAGGGACTGCTGCCCCGTGTTAGCCTCCAGATGTTGACACACATGTGTATGTACATCGATTTTCAGGAGAGAAGTTTACCAGAAAGTTTTCCCCTCTGCACCCCTGCCCCCCAGTGACATTCTGACAACATTACTTGGGACTTTTTTCCATACAGACTCAATCAGACCCAGACAAAGGAAGAATTCAGAATGCCACTATCAATGAGGGTTATGATTCAGGTTACCAAATGCATTTTGGGGTAAAAGAAGGCAGGTGGATATTATTCCTTTCTAGAGGACTCTTTTATCTAGCAAAATTGTATTTCCTCTTAGTGTCTCTGTCTTTTTCTGACCATTTTTTCCCACACATCAGATTCTATCTTGTGTCTATGGAGGTCCACACACTGCAAAAAGGAAATAAACTAAGAATACATGAGAAATCAACATAAGGCCTGCAAGCTTAACCAGACAGTCTGATAAACTTCATATTAAAAACGGTAGCATAAAAATTGGATTCTTCATCAGATTGTCCCCCTCTGAAACCTCAATTGATACACCAGAGCCACTCATTCCGGGTATTTAGAATCAGAGCATTCGGAATACAATTTTTTCTCTATGTTTTTCAGTTCTCATCTTCTTTGTGAATCCTTGCAGCCTATCTTGTCCAATTTCTTTGATGAGTTTTTTGAAAATTGTCTGATGAGTTATTGTTCCCTTTTTCTGCCTTCTAACAGTCAGTCAAGATCATTGCAGATTTGTCCTTTAAATCAATCCCTTCAGAAGCTCTGAAGAGTAGATTCAAGACGGATGATGCTGGAAGCTGGAAGTCCAGGTAGGAGGCTGTTGTAGCTCACATAAAAGGTGATAAGCCATTGAGAGTAGGGATGCAGAAGATAGGGAAGATTTTTACAATTAGATTTAATGGTTGGTTGACTATTTGGTTAAAGGAGACAGGGAACCTGGAGGAACCTGTAGGAAGAGCAGGTTCAGGAACAAAAAAAAACAATTTCATGCTTAAGTAAGTTGAGTTTGTGGTCCTTATGGGTGAATCAGATGAAATGTTCCAGCAGAGTTGTACTAACATGAAATTCACAGAGAAGTGTGTGGAGGAGTTACAGACTGAGACATCAGCAGCCCACAGGTGACTAGGATGGTAAGAGTGGATCAGAGAGTTCAAGGGGAGTTCGCAGTGTGAGCGAGGAAGAGCTCAAGGACAGAACTCTCATAGAAAGATCTAAGTGGAAGAGGAGAACAAAGTGCCTGTGTGTGACAACGGCCAGCTACAGCCTATCAATATTCAGAACTAGTCTCACCCTTCTAAGCTCTCCTTTTATGCAGGAGCTGCAAGCTGAGAAACTACATCCCTCCAACTCCCTTGACAGAAACGCTTCCTTTAGATTCTGCAGCTAGAAGGCACTTCCATGAGAACTAGGAGGCAGAAGAGGAGATGTGCCTCCCTGAGGGCCTGTGCTTGAGCATCAGGAGGTGGCTGACTTGGAGATTTACCAGAGGTTTCTAGGCATTGTTCTGAAACCATCCATTTCACCCTGCAGGCAGCAGAGTTTGGGCTGTGTCTTACTAAGATGCTGTGAAGCCACAGCTTCCTTAAACTCTGCTTCCCAAGGGGAAATTCTTTTATTCCCTACATCATATCTTCCTGTTCAAAATACAAGGTCTGTCTTCATGAACAAATTTTTACTAACAAAGAAAGAATCGTGCCACAGGGGTGTTGAGACAGTAGGTTAAGAGTGAGTGATACATGAAAAAAGTAGAGACAAAGAGCATACACAGACACATTTTGGGGTGAAAAGCCCTTTTGAGAAGGAGAGGTGACATATTAGAGCTGAGGGGGAGATGGGCCAAGATAATGAGTGTGTGTGTGTGTTTGTGTGTGTGTCATGATAGGAGAGACCTGAGCATGTTTACAACTAAGGCAAGACCCAGTAAAAAAAGGAAGAAGGTGAAGATACATGAAATATTAATCATGACTGATGAAGTTAGATCCTGGACTATATGGACAGAGCCAAGACAACTGGTAGATAGGTTGGCCATGAACAGGAGGATGGGTATCCTATTCTCTTAAGACTTGTCCCAGTGAAGTAGGTTCCAGGGGCAGAGGACATCTGAGGTTGTCCACCCAGCATCCATGCCACTTTGTTTTGGTAACTGAACCCTGATTTCTCTTAGAGAATCTGTTCTTTCCATTCTCAACCCTATGACTCAAGAGTAGAGCACATGACCCAGCTCTAAACCAATCAGAAAATCACATTCCATTGTCTACAGGGATGGGTCCAGGCAGGTGTTGCGACTAGAGCCAACAGGATGTGACAGGGTGTTTGCTGAGGCTTCTGATTAAGAGGCAGGTAACCTTTCCCACAGGTCTTCAAGCAGGAAGGAAGGAGCTGAGGGAGAGACTGAGAAAAGCCAGGTTCTGCTGGTATAGATCAAGCTTCTGCTCTGAGCTGCACTTGAAGCTCACTCTCCTCCTGGGCTTTTCAATTAGTTCAACCAATAAATTCCACTGTTGATTAAGCCAGTTTGGACCTGGTTTTCTCTCATTGGCCGAACGAGTCCTAAGCCATAGAATGGCATTGTCTGCTGAAAGTAAAAGGGGTTGGATATATATATATTTTTAAAAAGCAGACTGATAACATAAACAGCAAAGGAAAAGACCTTAATCAATAATCGACCAGTTAGGCCATAAAACACCATTCAGTCTGGCTGAACTTAAAACCATGCTAATGTCAAACCCAAATCAATAATTTGGTTTTTTAATGCACTTTGCCAACTAAAGAAACTGATTTTTTTCCCTCACTAGCAATTGCCTTTGTGAAGTATGTACCACCTTTGGCTGGGCTCATATGACACTTAACATCTGGAAAAAAATTGAAAAATGTGATGTCAACCATGTATTTTGTCAAACACAATTACAAACCCCTGGGTAGTTAGAAAATATCTAATAATTCAGATTTTGCCTGAATCATGTGTACATGATATTTGTGACTCCAAACTTTCATAGCGTTAAGGAACATAATCGCTGCACCCAGCAGCCCTCTGTTTTACAGGTCAGCCCCCAGCTCAAATGTGATGCCAGTTTTTCCCCCAGTTCATATTGCCCCTGTGTTTCCTCAATGCAAGTGCATCAAAATTTCAGCTCCATGAGCAACTGTACATGTTAGAGTCATATGTCTTATATTTTAACTGTCACATACTGGGCAGTAGAATGTAGGATATTCAAATTGGAAAGTGAATGTGGCAAAACCAAACCTTTTATTTTACCTAGAATGAAAGTGATGTTCAGAGAAGTCAAGTAACTTGTGCAAGGTCCCACGGCTTGTCAGTGGGCAAGCTAAGGCTTGAACCTGTGACTTTGGAATGCTACCACTATACCATGTTGCTTTTACCTGTCATAACCTGGAGATTTTGGTTACTTACTTTTTTGCAGTAGGTGTGCTTTGTGGTTATGAACGTACTTAAACAATGTCAATCATTCCCAAATCCCTTCTTCCAAACATCCAAAAAAGTTGAGTCTTCGGACAGATTTATATATTTGCTATTACCTTGTGGAATAGAAGGAATATAATAATCAAACACATTCACGCAGTATGGTCTCATTTGTAATAAGCAGACAGGCTTATCTTTATTTTATACAAATACATAAAGGAGGGAGCTTAAATCCCTGTCTTCTGAAGTAAGCCTAAGTGATCTGAGAGTACAAGGCCATTTGTTCAAGCCTTAGAGTCATTATGACCCTATGACTTTTTGCTCATTAATTCATTCAATTAGAATTGTGATACAACTAAATATTCCATAGCAAAATTTCCATTACTTCACTGTGTTTAATTATTATCATTAAATGGAATCTTACAGATTCACATAAACATGGTTCTGAGCTAAGAATTGTACAAACAAGCTAAATATTTATTCTGAATTATTGGAAAAAATTGTTTCATAATTTCTTCCATATTTTATGGTTAGAATCAAGACCGAGTTAAAATAAAGACCCACAAAGAGGAGGGTTTGGCTTAACAACATTAAGAAATGAACCAAAAATTCGGGAATTTAAGCAATCATTAGGTATTTTGCCCTTTTTTAAGAGAGAAAAAATAAATGGTGGGGTCAAGAATTTAGAAAGTAGTCCTGTTAATAAACCTCACATTTTTTTAAACTGAAAGGAAAAATAGTCCCAGCAATCATCAAGCAGCCACCAACCGACCAACAAGTGCTTGGCCAGCGCGGCGAGGACAGGGCGCACGGAGTCACGGTGCACAGCGCTGGCTTCAGGGAAGCCTGTGATGCAGCTGAGATGAAGAGACCTGGAAATAGTTAGTAGAAAATGTACAAAAACGTCAAGAATTTAAGTCATCAATTCTTCTTCTCCCTCCTCTTCTAGCCTACCATTCAATGACCTGGTCTGACTTTGCCAGAAGCTGCCCGGAATACATCTCATGTTGTATAAAGTGACAAACACTTTCTGTTCCTGTTCTTCAAACCTGAAGTCAGTAAACTGATGATGATCAAACAAATGGCTTTTAATTCTGGGGACTTGGAGTTTATAAAGCACTGTCATGTATATTATTATCTCCTAGAAGTAATTGAGAGACTTCATAATGTTGGTAGCAAAAATGTTTCTGTTTTATAGACAAATAGGCTTAGGCAGGGAGAGAAGATTTCCCTTGATGTTTCCATAGAGCCTATAGAATTGTGGCACAATGAAGTTTAATGTAAACTTCAATTTTAATTCCAAGGATCTTCAACCTAAAAGCTAAGAGAACCGGTTAAAATCCCAACTTCACCACCTATTATTATCTGTTAAAGGAGCATGTCACTTCAGTCTCTCTGGCCCTAGTTTCAGAAAGTGCTGTCTATATTAGTAAGGTCAGGTTTAGTTCTGAGTGACAGAAAACCAAAAATAAGAGTGATTATAAAAAGATAGAAGTGTAAAAGAAGTCTGGAGGTGGGCAATCCAGGGCTGTATGGACCACATGGGGTCAGGGTTCCAGGCACCTTTCACATTGTTGTTTTGTCACTTTCAGGGTGATATTCTACCTCAGGGTTCAATATAGTTGCTTAGACTCTGATCATCACATATGTATTCCAGCCAACAAGAAGAAGTTTGCACCCCTTCCCTTTCATACATTTCCTGTGAGTTGCTCACAATCCTTCCACTTACAATGGCCAGGAATTACATTCACACCTACTATGAGACAAAGTGAGAAATCAGACCTTTATTCTGAACACTTACAGATTTAACTTCAAGTCAGGGATTCTAATACAAAGAAAAAGGAGGAAATAGGGTTTGGAGACCAATGCCAGTCTAGTCCACTGTCCTGTCAATATCATTGAGTTGCTTAACTGTTCACTTGAGATATTATATGTAAAAGAGTACACCTCATTCTATAATGTGCTGTAGCTTTCTGAATTCCAGTATAAAGAAAAAGATGTTTCCTTTCATCGTGCTGTGCTGGGTATTTCAGACAAAGTATGGATGTGACCCTCATGAGAAGGCATTTGTAGACCCCCCAGGACTGGGAGCTTCTGTAATTGACCACATGCCACACCACACAGCAGCTGCTCTCAGCCAATGGCTAAAGGAGCAGGTTTGCTAACACAGCCCCATTCCTAGGACACTCAGGACTCCCCTGACAGCTGACTTGGCTTGAGGACTCTTGACAGTTCTGCTGAAACTTCTGTAGTTGCACAGCAGTTCAGGGTGCGCCACCACCCTCTCCCTCCCATCGTTGCTGGGATATGATCTGCATCCTGATCTCCCAGCCTTCTCCAGCCCCCTCATTTTCTCTCAGACAAACCACTTCCTGTAACATAATGCTTATATGTTTAACCCAGTCTTGACATCTTCATCTTGGAGGAGGCGGATGAACAAAACATTGTATTTTGTAAAGAAACGTAATTTCTTCACAGTCAGACTTTTAGATCCCATGGCAACATTGGACTAGGCTTATGACTATAGAGTTAGTGTAAGTAACCTGCTGCAAAATTTTTAAAATTCCAGATCATTTACATATACATTTAAAGACTGTATTACTAAAGGCCCTTTGTGTTTAAACTTTGTTCATTTTGAACAACATCAAATACTGTGTGCCTACTATGTGCTGGGTACATAGTTAAACACTGGAGAGACAGAGATGAATAAAACAGATCTGCCTTCAAGGACCTTGCCATCTAATCAAAAAGAAACACACCTGACAAACAGCTGTCAAGACCCCTTAACCACATCCCTTCTGTATTCAGTGGGGATCCTGACTGAGGAGGGGTCACAGACTTACCCCAAAGAGGCCTGCTTGCTAACGGATCACAGTTGTTCTCCCCAAGTTCCTCATAGATGTCTGTCTACACACAGAGCGATTCAGACAACCATGGAGACCAGCTGCAAAATCGAACAATGTACACCTGCCCTTTTTTTTTCTAGCACCTCAGAATAAGCCGTTGTGGAAAGAGCTGGAGAGAGCAGAGGGTCAGAGAAACGAGACTGCAGCAGTTAGATCTAGGGTGCCAGAGAGAACGACCTGCCCATCGGGATCTGACACAGAAATAAGTGTGGGGAGGCCTTAGACATCTACAGACCCAGAACAAGTGCTAGAAAAAAGACAGTCCCATCAGAAAACCTGGACAAGAACACAAGCTCGTTGTATTGTTATTTTTACATTTCTCAAGAATCATTCTCGTACATTTGGGGCCTTGCCTCCAGTTTGTGCCAGGTCCTACAATGGCAAAAAGTAGAGCTGCCAGATTTCTCTGAGCTCATCAATTCAAAATTTCTTTTGTCAAAAAATTAAAACCATGTAGAAGTAAATTCAGTTTGGCCAGTTTCAGTTATTTCTGAATAAATCATATTTTATATTGAGTATATCGAAGGTGATAATTTTATGAGCAAGACAAGTTGTTGAATGCATGACATGCATTAGGGTTCTCAAACTGCTAAAGTAACTTCAGCCCTATAAAACACCCCAAAAAATAAATTTCACCCATGTTTCGAATTGTTCCAAAACATCTTTTCTTTCCCAGCTTAATTTTTCTTACAGAAATTCTATTATTTTGTACAGGATTCTCTGTGTAAAAAGCAAGAAACTGTGAATGGCAGGGGTCCAAAGAGTAGATAAAACTCAAAGAGACTGAGTAGAGCCCTGAGAACCCATATGCTCATTCTGTGACTCCCACTGCCCCCTGGAGAGATCAGGATGCCCCAGTTCTTTTGAATTAAGTGCTGGGTGGTTGACTGACTAAGAACTAGGAAGGGAACAGAGATTGCTGGGATGAGGGACGAGGCCGCCTCTGAGCATTTAGCCTTGGAGAGAAGCTACAGTAAAGGAATCCACTGACCTTAAAACAGTCAAGAAAATATACAGCAGATTGTCTTTGTCTTCAAAAATAAACAGTTGGAGAGGCAAACACCTGAACTAATGAAAACTGGCTTCTTATGGATTTCTCTTAGGAAATGAAAACAGCTCACATTCATTCATGGTGGATACAGATGTCTAGGAAATTAATGACTTGCCTGTTAGCCCTGAGGGCTGCTCTGACCTCACTGAAGGTGAAGCGTGAGAGGGTGGGCACTAGCACACTGAGACCTCCATTCTGACGAGTCACTTCTCCTGCCTGAGGAGCAGCAGTTCCCAAAGACTAGGTCTCATGTGCTCCAGGATCTGGGCTCCACTTCGGCTTTGCTTAGCACCTGCCTTGGTATTGGAAGGGAAACTCCTGGAATCCTGTGGCAAGCCAAATTCTGGCGGCCCCTGCACAGCTGGGTGGGAAGCAGAAGTCTGTTGAAGGCAGGAGGGCTGAGGGCTCCCGCTGTGTGTGATGAGGCAGGCCATGGAGTAGAGCTCAGACAGCACCTTCTTCATCAGGCTAGCCAGAAGGAGTCTCCTCTTTTCTCAAACTTGAGCATTTTGTGCATCCCTTCCAGCATTTATCTCAATCAGCTCACGTTGACTAGTTTTAGACTTGGTTCTTTCTGTTTGGAAAGACCACAGGTTTCCCGAGGCAGCCTCCCCCTGCTTCTCTCTTTCCCTGGTGCACAGTGGGAGTTCATCAAACATTGTTCTTCAGCTGTTTGCTGAAGTGAATCCGTGGGGCAGAGCCGTGGAACAGGTCACAGCAACATTGACATACAAGTCACCTCTAGCTCTCTACCAGGCCCTGGCTCCTCCTGGTGCTTCCCTCTCTCCCTCTGTTTTCTGAAATCTCCCTTAGGAAGCTTATAAAACACTCCCAGGCAGCTAAATCAAAAAGTTTCTCACCTACCATCCTTCTCTGCCTCTTCAATCTGCCTTCCTTCATTGCTCTAGGGATATCTAAAAATCCCTAAACTCTCCTGGCTTCCTTGCCTTCCTTTTAGATCCTTGGTTCTCAGTCTTCTTTGCCTCTTCCTCCTTTAATGTTGTCTCATAGCCAACCACTAGACATCAACCTTCATTCACTGGACAAATTTGTATTTGTCCTACTAGAGGCCAGGTTTTTTGTGCATGTCCTTGAGGAGAGAATCAGCTCATCTGACTTCAGACGCTACCTCAGTAAGAATGTGCTGGACCTGGGACACCAAGGGCGGGTCAGCTGTCTTTGCACAGTCAATGGGACGCCGACAAGCAGATGAGACCCTCACTGTGGTTCAAGGAACAGGGTGGCCTGGCATCCCAGCATTTCTAAATCATGGACTTCCAGCTTCTCTTGTTACTGTCCTTTCCCTAACTGCTCTTCCTCGGCTAGATATTACCTATCACTGCTCACCTACCTGCCATTCCTTTTCCAAAAAAATATCACCATCCAGTCCCTTTTCCCATTTTTCAGTTTAATTACCATTTGAAAAAATTCTACTCCAATGAAAACCTCTTTACAAGTAAATGGTTTCCAAACCCCAAAGCTCTGCTGAAATGACCCTTCCCTCTGATGACATTTCCTGATTCTCATCAAAAAATTACTTTGTACGTTTGCAAAGCGTGTCCTCTGCAATTCATTCTCAATTTGGTACAACAACCATTGCAGACATCTCCCATAGAAAAGTCTGTGTGCCATGAACAAATAACAAGACCCCGGAGTCTCTGCCCTACAGAGGCCCCCTATTTGGTAGAGGGGGTAAGACCAAGGCTAGAGAAAGGAATCAGCTCTTGTTCTGCCTAACAGATTTATGTACCTCTAGACAGGTGCTCCCCACTGAGTAGCCAAATCCTTCCTGGGAGGGTTGAAAAATCTCTCTCCAACTATACAATTTCCTGATGCAGCCATGATGAGATCCCACTCTTCAAGGCAGTACCCATTTGGACAGGATTCAAACAGCTGGCCCTTCTGACTCCAAAACCAAGCACGGTTCTCCACTGCTGGCCCAAAAGCCTGTCTCTGGTATTCCCCAGCACACCAGGAAAGCACCAGAAGATCTCCAGTGTGCTTGACTCTTGGCCAACCTGGAGCTCTCCGGGTTGCAGAGCACCTTGACAAATGGGTGGGGAAGAGAAAGGAGCAAAGATGGAGCCATTCTAGGGTCCATAAAAAGTGTCTCCAACTCTTTCTCAAATGGCTTGAATTTGGCAAATCCCAAAATATTCTTTGCCAAGAATTTTTTTTTGCCTTAATTTCTTAAGCCCATGTGAATTTCAAAGGAAATTTGGTCCGTATGTTTCTGATTCATTTACACTTAACTCATCACAAAGATGTTGTGAAATAGCCATTTGATGTCCAAGAAGCTTTAGAAGTCCTTTTTCCTACGCCTTTTCTCCCTTGCCAATGCAAAATACAATTCCAATCCAGAATCTCTTTAAGTTGGATCTAAACTCAGAACTGAAAGAGAACTCTTGCCTTGATAAAACATTCTTGTCAGCAAGTAGATGATTTAAACCCATGGGATACAATTCCTGAAGCTCCTGAAACTTCCTCCAATTCAGGGCTAGTTTTCCCCTTTCTGAACTCTTGTTAGATCAAAAGCAGAAATGCTGAGATACAAACAGACATTGCACCAGGTCCCACCTCCGCGGCAGCAGAAACCCCATGGAGAGCAGTTGAAACACCGTTTGCTAACAGATTTTCAGCTTCAAGACCAGGACAGTTGGAGTTTCTTCCCCTCGTGATTCAACTTTTTAAGCTGCAAGAGCCTTTGGTGTCTCCAGATTCAACTACCAGCACCCAACATGCGAAGTCGTCCAGCCATCAGCTACAAAAGGCTGAGACTAAAATGAGTCTCCACTTACCTCATACATAATATAAGCCAAATTCAAACTGATAGAGTTCAGGAGGGAAGGAGACTTCAGAGTCACGGTTTCCAGCTGCTCTTTGGCGTAGGCATTGTGATGTTGGTTTTAGCATCAAATACTAAAAAGGACACCATGGAGGTCAGGACAGGTCTTCTGTTACTTGCTCAGGGCTGTTTGCACACGAGTGAACTCTGAAACCTCAGGCATCCTGGGGAAAGTAGGCGCTGCCTGCCAGCTGGGAGAGGAAAGGAATGAGGGGGCACCCTGGGCACTTCCTGGCCCGGCCTCCTCTCCCTCCGGCAGAGAGCTGCCTCTGCATCTTCCTCTGCCCTCCCGCCAGGGCCGTCCAGCAGAACAAAGCTGTTTCAGACCCTGGAAGCTCAAGAACAGGTCTTGGGGAGATGAGAAATCCCCCCCTACACACCCTGAACAATCCTCTTCTTTGCCTCTATTTTTTATTTCTTGCTTATTCCGAAATCATTTTCTTACTCATTTTTAAACAATATTTGCATTTAATCATCTGAAGGAATATCCTTTACAGCAGCCTCAGCGCTCTTTCAAATACCCCTCCATGAATCTAAACATAACATGAACCATTTCAAACAACTCCCTCTTGGCTCAGTAAAGTTGCCATGTTTTTTCCCCTTATTTTAAATTGTGCAAACAATTAGGCATTTTGAAAAAGGCATACATCAAGTAAGGCAAGTCAGGTTTTAATTACTTTGAAACATTTATAATCCCTGCTGTCAGAATCAGCCTTCTCCCTTTGGGCACGTAACATTCTAGCAATGCTATGATATCTTTCTAGTTTGACTTAAATATCTATTTACTTTATTGAGTCAGTACAAGGCCTGATAGGTCAAAAATTAGGCATGGGGTGGTTAAAGAGTAAATATCTATTACAAGATGCCAGAGTTAAGAGGAGTGGTAAAATTAAATGCATCTTTAGAGGTTTGTAACTAAATTCACATTTGTATTTAAATACCAAATAATCTTCCAATTTTTATGCATAGTTTTCAGTCCCTGTAACAAAAACATGATGTTGCCCTCATGCTGTGAGCACTGTGCTTGGTTTCCTTGTTTACATTCACAGCTGTAAACACTGCCTTATCCAGCCTTGCTTGGAAGCAAATTTCCCATTGTTTCCTGTGCTCACCACATTAAGAAATTTCTAGAATTTTTCCTCATATTCTTATTCTTTATGCATTAGCCCATAGATTCCTAAACTTATCAGGGTGTGACCACACTTCCACCTATCAAAATCTCAATGCAGATTTATGGTCTCTTGACTCAAATTTGTAAATAGAAAATGGTTCCAAAGGTATATATTAAGTCATTTATATGCCTTCCCTTTAGCCCTACACCCTGCCTTATGCATCTTCCCAGGCACTTCAAATGCATCCATCATTCCAGGCAGAGTTCAGCTCCCACCAATGTCCCAGAGCCACCCTGGCATCTCCAGGGGCAAGGATGTTTTTTAAATAGAAATTTTAGCTCTCTTAATTGCCAAAAAATTTTTGAAGACCCTATGTCAGTGCAGTGGATGTAACCATATTAATAAGACAAACTTCAGTGAATTGATCAGAGCATGGCTAAAGGGTGCTGAAGAAGGGAGACAAGAAAAGAAGAGAGAAACAAATGATGACTGGAAATAAAGAAATGGAGAGATAAATACCGAAAAGTAAATACCAGCAAAAGGCCATTAAATGTATTCATAAAAGCAATATGAATGGAGACAAAAAATAAACTCAGAGTGACTTTGCCTGTGCAGAAATGTGAATTCCACAGATAAAATTCCCTAAATGTACATTGTTGTTACCAACGAATACCTATCTTGCATTATGGAATAAAGTGAATGCACGAGTGTGCATGCACACACACACACACACACACACACACTCTCTCTCTCTCTCTCTCTCTCTCTCTCTCTCTCTCTCTCTCCTGATTTGCTGCTCTTCTAAATCAGATGCAAAGACTGAGTGTGCCCTTTTGGGTGAAGGAACTAGCCCCATGTACATCCCAAAAGTGCTGGTAGGGTGGTCTTGCCCTCCTGGGTACCAGCAGAGGTCAGAGGGGGCATTAAGACACCAACTGCTAAAACCTCTACCATCATTTCACATATATCACTAAAAAAGTGGTCCCCACCCTGTTCTCCCAGTAGTGCCCAGCAGACCCAGAGTCACAGGCATTCCAGAATCCACAGCCCATCTGTGCACAGGCTCTCCCCAAGAAGTTCTCAGGCACCCAATCTTGGATTTACATAAAATGCAAAGGCCCTTGGCCTTTTGTTGCCCCTCCATTTTCCACATAGATGGAGCCCTTTGTTAAGGATCAGATGTTGCCTATCGGGCCTACATTGAGCCTCTCTCTGTTCCCTGAATAATCATATTTTTAAAAATAAAGGAGGTAGGTGTCCCCTTTGCACTGTACTCACTGATGCTCATTGGATTCCAATCCACCTGTCAGATTTTATTACAGCCCTTCTTTTCCTGACTCTGTCTTTTGACAAGGAATTTTTCCTTAGATTACTTTTTCAATTACATATGCTTCTTTCTAAAACATAAGATCTGCTTTTATACTTTATTTTATTCTTTGTCATTTTCTAGAATAGAGAAAAATATACCCCTGATGTTCTGATATGAGAACAACTACCCAGAATTCTATGGTCTCTGGACTGAACAAAAGCTTCTTTAGTATGTGGGTATGTTCAGGGTTAGGGGAAATCTGTGCATGTAGTCATCTAATCTTTAATCCAGAATGATGCAGCTGAGATGGCAAAGTCTACTTCCTTTGAGACTTTGGAGTCCCTCCGTGATTTCGCTGCACATTGCAAGTGCAACAAACCCAAAGAAAATTCCAGAAAGCATAAGTGACTCTGTCTATCAGCACATAGAATGAAAGGTCATGTTTATAATGTTGATGTGGGACACAAAGTTCTTGAAATGACTTCTAAGCCAAAGATTCCACAAATAATGTCTCATATACTTGAATACATTTTAGCCCATTATAAAAAAAATCAAACTTTTGATGTAACAGAACCAGAAAATCCTGTAACCTAACCATCCTGCATGAGGAGAAAAGAGCTACACAATCTGTTTAAATTAAATTAGATGATACCCCAACCAGGGCAGCCCTCACCAAGGCCCTTGTTTTTAGGGGAAACTGAGTGAGAAATAGGAAAGAAGCAAACTGGAGAGCAGGAGGAAGGTGAAAAGGAGCCGCAGCAAAATGTGACAATGGATGAACACCGCAGGTGGACAGGACGGCTGCCCACCCCACGGTGGGCTCCTGCCAGCAGTGGGCCTGCCGGGGAAAGCTGCTCCCACAACATTTCCCCAGCAATGCTGATGAGCTCGTGGATCCCCCCCAGAGACTGTGTTGTAAATGCAGCACCTATTGTCAACAACAACAGGGCATCTCGGGAGCCTGTATTGTGCAATGAAGATATTTGGGAAATGGGAAACTGTTAAAAAAAAAAAAAAAAAAAAAAAGACAATTGTGTCATTCAAAACAATATGACCACCAAAGATTATTTTGCTTCAGTGAAGGGAGATAAGTCTGCTATTAAATCCAAACCAGTGCTAAACCCAGGTATAGAAAGCCCTCTCATTTTATTTTCTGTAGATAGTCTGTTGAGGGTAAGGCCATTCTTCAATGTTTTTAAATGTGAATCTCATTAAAAAATATTTTTTTTATGCTTCTGACTCAATATTCAATACAATAACTTCATGTGGTAACGAAACTAATTTGTGTGTAAGTTCTCCAAGGAATCTGTTCCAAGTACTTGGACACCCTTCACTCTGTCTCGGGCCTCGGCGACATTTCTCTGCGAAGGGTCCCCAGTGGACTGCAGGTGGCTCGCTGGGGGCCGGGTGATTGGCGTTTACTCTGGGATGCGTCAGCGTAGTTCCAGCATTGCTGTGTCAGAGGTGGGGCTGAGTGCCAAGCTTTCTTGGGGCATTGAGACGTCAGCTTTTCCGACCCCTGCGCCAGAGAGGTTACCTTCCGAGGAAACGTTTCAGTAAGAGCCAGCAAACAATGGAGAAACATTCAGCCTCTCTCATGATTAGGAATTGAAAATCAAACTAACCATACTACTCTCCAGCATGTTCTAGAGATAAGGCACACTTAGTCCCAGGGGCTGGCGGCGCTGGGCCGCGGTATGATTCTTATCACACCGAAGAATTTCAGTGACACAACAGAATAGTAAAAATATTTATTTCCTTTGTCCCATTTTTACTCCTTATTCCCCTTTGATTCCATCTTTGGGAAAACTTGAAAGAGTAGGAAAGTAGAAATGACGCATCACATTGGTTTCCAGCAGCGTCGTTAATACTAGAGAAAGCAAGAAACAGCTTAAACATCCAACCATATAAGGTGGGTTTAGGTTATCAGGGACATGGTGGTCTACAATGACCATAGTAATTCTACCCCCAGGCCAGTGACTGGTTAATGAAAGGCCATATGACTTGATTCTGGTCACTAAGATGATAGGAAACGTTTTCTCACAAGTTTTGGGAAAGGTGTCTCTCTCCTAACAAAAAAGTAACAGGAAGAAACAATTCATCCTTTACTCTGAAGATACTTTACTATCTTCAGACATGTGAGGGAGAATTCAGCATCAAGGAGAGCATGTGAAGGAAATGTAAAAACCCAGGTCCTTAATGATAACACAGAGCTTCTAAATCCCATCAGCCTGAGCCTCAACTTCCATCATAGGTGAAATACTCTATATATGTGAAATAGTAAGCTGTCTTATAACTTAAAACAGTTTGTGTTGAGTTTTTCTATAACTTGCTGCCAAAGGAATCCAATAGGGTAATAATTAATTTAATCTTATCTATCCATTATAACTGTATTTGGCAAGCATTTGTCAATTATCTTTAATAAGACTGTAAATCCCTAAAAGTATATCCAACATAATACTTACGTAACTACATAAAAATCATGAATGTATCTGTATATATCCATCATGAATAGTTATTAGCAAAAAATAGTTATATCAGTTAAAAAAGCTAAGAGTAAATTCTAAAATATTATAGAGTTTTAATTTAATATTTTAAGTGTTGCCTTCCATAATTTTTCTTCACATCATTTCTCAAAATGGTGATCAACTGTGAATTAAAGGGCACACCTGATTGATCCCAATTTCAAGTAGAGTTGC